ATCTCGGAAGTCCTTATATTCTCGTAGATGCCGGAACCAGATCAGGAATATGTAGACGTATGACTAGACTAAGCCCCTCTCCTCTAAAGACTACCCTTGCGGAATCTATTGGGTCTCACATGTAGATGAGAGGTTGAGAAGTACTAAACTCAACTGAGTACGCCGAAGAAGACTGCTCGGAGAGGACTAGGCGCTTGGGCACTAGAGTTACTGCTGCTTTAGCAATGTGCTAAGGAAGCGACCAGGCATCTATCATTCACCCAACCCTTTGATCTTTTGTTTTTCAAGCCTTGCCCATTCTTTCTCTTTTGCTGCTTCTAACAACGCTTCTAGCTGGGCTGTAGCTATTCCCATGAGGACCTTTACCAGTCAACTTCATTTACATCTCTAGACAAGGGCAGAGCCTCCCACATCTGGTAATGTAGCTTCCCTGGTATCGGTATAAAGCAAAGAGTGTCTACTTACAGATTACAGATTAGATTGAGGAACTGGTAAGACAGATAAGTCAGACAGCCAGACATACCAGAGATAAAGTATAAAGTATTCGATTTAGGGGTTGGCTAGTCCTGGTTTGGAGGGATTCCAAGGATAAGGATGAAGACTCATAACGGGAAGCCTAAGGAGCTTACTTCCCAACTCCATCGATTCAGTAGCCGCCCTAGTAGCATAAAATGCAATTGCTTCTACTCCCGCTTATCTATGTACTGGTTCATTGATCGAACCAAGGCAGTTGGTCAATCAAAGCAATCATCATCTAGGTCTAGGGCATGGAAAGCCTTATAAATAAGACTGGCCTCGTAAGTCAATAGAGATAACTCTGTGCTGCAGAGGTTAACTGTTCGGAGAGGTGGATGAGTTTCTGATGTAGCAACCTCCTGCCAATCTTATCTTTGTGCCGATATTGGATTTTGTCGATTTCTCAACTTATTCTGGTAACCATTAAATCGTCCCTTTCCGTCAAAGGCTAATCAGCTAGTCTCAATCGACTCATTTTCAGTTTAGTGTGCTACTCCTCTTCTTTGAGAAAGGACTAGCTTGCTTCTAGCAACGCGCTTTTTCTTTGCTGCTTCTTTCCATCTTCCAACTGAGATAGATGAAGTAGTGTGGGACGAGATCTTTGTATTTATTGGTGCGCTGGGACGAAGCCGATTGACTCCTTTATCCGATTGATCTATGATTTTGCATTCATGGACAGAGATTCGATCTTTCCCTTGGGGTGGCATAGCCAAGGACGAGAAATGCTTATGGTGGATACCAAGGTGAAGAGCTTCTAACGACCTCGATGTGCTGGAAGCAATGTTAACCTAACTGCTGTTGAATCCATGGGACAACCTGGCAAATATTACTAGATAGCTATACGATTGGGCGAACTCTTCATTACTCGAATTACCATTCCCAATTTCTTCATTCTTTTATTGAGCTCTTTCGTCACCTCCTTTCATAATGGTATGCAGAGGTCTGTAAGCCGAGCAATTGGAGAAGGGGCTGATGATCATATCTCATAGTTTTGTCAACTTGATTTCTCAATTTCTTCTATTTCTGGTAACAAATCCCCTTCTTCTGCTTTTGTTCTTTCGGATGAAGTACCCGAAGCCTTTTCCTACTTCTTGGATTTATGCTTTCAACTTTTTGCATTTCTTTTGTTTATCCTTTTACGTGTGAGGGTTACTTCGACATGAGATAGAAGTTGGATGAACCAAGGAAAGTGAGACTGATCTTTCTATCTCGGGCGGCTATCCTCTACTTATAGAATTAGTCGAGACCAGCCGATCAACTTGTTTGGGTGACAGAACATCCCTTGCCTTATAATAATTATAATATAATAGGGCTTCATAACTTGATGGGCAACTAGGAGTAGTGACAGGTGATCGATCTTCTACTATTTCTCGAACATGCTTATGAAAAGGCGGACCAATGAGAGGTGGACCAACCCAAGCATGAGCAGTACAACTTATCATATTCCAAGATTGGCATCTTTCTGTAATCCCTGAAGATTGGTTTATTTATCTTTTATCAGGGCTAAAGCACCTCAGTCACTCTTCCCCAAACCCCAGTTTTAACGGTAAGCCCAAGAATGGGAATTCTACGCCACGCACTTTTCGGAGATACCTTGAGTCATCATACTCTGCTAGCGAAGCCAACCTTAGCTCACTGAGCAGCTCTGCCTGAATAATCTTTGTAAGGGCCTTCCTGGCCCCATATATCGATTTATTCAAGGGAATGCCTTTTTGGCTGTAAATGCTTTCTTTCCCCTAGCAATGATGAACTAACTACCCAAACATTTCAATCATCAATCTTGGATCCCGGATATCAGAGTGAAGCGGAGGATAAAACAACACAACAAAAGCAGGGTGTGATGAAGGTCAGTAAGGTACAAAAAGCTTATGGATGGCGAACAGGCACAGCCAAGCTACTAGTCTCACTGTGACCTTTAGCACAGTTACTCTAAGCTGGAGACAAAGCCCCTTTAAAGGCTATCTTGCCTCTCCTTTTTACCTCCTCGAAGTTCCCTCTGAAAAGTAATATCGTACCTTGGAAGCACACCCGTTGACCTTTCAATGCACAGAAGACTTTCTTACACGAAAGAGTGGCTTGCTTCGTTAGAGCTTGACTGTCTAGTCTTAAAGTAAAAAATCCCTCGCATCACCATGCCTCTGAGAAGTACCGATGAAAGAGTGTGCTACGGTAGGATGGCGCTAATGCCAAGCGATCAGGAAAGTGGAACTTAGAAAGAGCTTCGAAATAGATATTATAGTAGCGTTTCCCCCTCCGAAGAATTGTAATGGTTCGTCCTTCGACAGGATCATTTCCAAGTAGTACTACTCAGTCTTTTCCTTGACTTTGTGCTGGCCGCTTTTTGTACAGCATGAAAATTGTTGCGCTAAGGGTATGCTCCAGTTATGTCCCTAGATCCCGCTTCCAATGAACCAAAGTTGCATTAAGCTGCTTTCAAGTAAAAGGAGAGGATCTCAACAGGACAATAGCTTGGTTTGTGCTACAGACCATAGATGCAGCACACAGCTAAAAAGATAAGAAGAGCAGCTTCAAAGCAGAGATTAGAACCTGAGCTAAGGGCTCGGCATTACCACCTTTCTCAAATCGGGAATCTATGAGAAATGCAATTGAATCTAGAGGATCTGGCCTTTGACTTTCTTTCTGTGTGCGATAAGTAGTCAACGGCAAATGACTAGGAAAAAGATAAATCGAAGACGGATCCCACGGATGATTGATCAAGAAGTTGCTGCGCTAGGACTATGCCATTAATACCCAGAGTGTGCTTTTGAAGAAATCACCACAGATGTATCAGCTACTCAGGGTTGCTTCGATAGGGATGTGTTCACACAAATCATATAATGTGGCTAACAGTTAAGGAAGCTGCTCATGAAAAGCAAAAGTGCTTCACTAGGAGTGTGCTAAAGCCTAGCAAAAAGAATGTCAAAAAGCAAAGCAGCAGTGGCAAAGGGCCGTTTCTAATCAACTGGATAGCAGCATCAGCAGAAAGGGAGAAAGGGCAATGGGACCAACCAATACGGATGAAAGAAGTAAGCAGAAGCTAATCAACCCACTTTGGTGTGGGCATCCAGCTACCTATCTCTACTCCGCAGGCCTATCACGAAGAGCTTCGAACATATGTTGATGGTGCTCGCCCAAGGATCTCCCTATTTATAGGTTTGGCCGGGGATTGATCTACTTGCGAAAGAGCCCCTGAGGGTTGAATGTAAGTGGCACTTTCTTTGACAGATAAAAGACGAGTTAGTAATGGGAGGAGTGGGCAGCAGCCTTTTGAAGTAGACTCCACCTAGAGGCGATGAGCAGCCTATGGATAAAGGAGAAACCAAAATGAGATAGATTCACCGCGACGCCTCTGGCATTTCATCCTTGGGATTCCTCTCAAGTAGAGAAAAGTTATCTTATTACTTTTTGGATCTAGGTGGTATCATCAACTACGGTTCTGTTGACTAAGTCTAGAAAGCAAAGCCCTCATTCTAGCACAAGCACATTGTCAGGAAAGGCACGAGCTAGCCAATCAAGGCAGGAGAAAGTATCTATGTAAGATAGGGTGCTTCTCCTTTGTATTGTTTGGGATTCCCCGTTGCTTTTTTGCGTACAGAATAAAGATTTTCATAGCTTCAGGCGAGACCCTTTAGTGTGCTCAACTCAGCACAGACTTTGGATCGGAAGGTACTCTCTAATAGTTGGGATTAGTGATTGGATCCCTAAGGGCGGCATTAGGTTTTGCTGCGCTAGAGCGTTTTCGCACAGGGGTCGAAGAAGAGTTTACTTATTGTTGGTGTGCCTTCCCAACGTCTCTTATTCCATTCTCGCTAGGCGTCTCCTTTTCTTTGTTCAGGTCAGATCTCGGGCAACTAACTTTTCTTGAAAGAGTCTGCCTCCTTAGAAACGTGGTATCGCTAAGGCGCCGCCCGATCAAAAAGAAAAGATGTGAGAGCCCAAGACCCCTGGTTACTTCGCTAGGAATTCGAGAAGATCAAGTCCTTACATTTGATATGTCTTCCGTGACAGCAGAGAAAGGTCAAAGGCAAACATCCTTTGCTTCAGCAGCACACCATAAGAGTCGTAGCTTTCGACTGATCTACCCAGCACACTGCTAATTACTTCTTTTCTCTGTAGCTTACCACCTCTCTTCACGTTAGTCGAAAACTTATACTGGGATTGTAGTTCAATCAAATGTCAAGTCGAAAGCTTTATCAAACGTTATTCAAAAGTCTATCACCCAAGCCAAGCCGAAGTGATGGAATCATTGGCTCTTAATATTAATAGGTCAGTCCCTTGGTACGATGGTCCCAACAGCAGCCCATGCGATTGCTCGTATCGCGTCTGGAATGTCTGCGGAATCGTCCATTTTTCCGGTTGCCTTAGACCCTCATAAGTAAACTCCTCTTGCAAAGCAAGGTACCGGTGACTGCTTTAGCTTTCACTCTCATTCCATGGGACCGCCTTCAACACATAAGCCGACCCYCCTCTGCCATAGCAGCATTCAACCATCTAAGAAAGATGTTCTGTTTGGCTGGAGAAGACGTCTACCTCAACTACAAGGGTTCTGTCCCTCAACAAATCTAAAGATTCTCCTCCCGAAATACATGAAATAGCTTCTGCTGAAGCAAATTCCATCCAGAAGGTTGCATTTGAACCAGTCGGAAGTGCATAGCTGTAGGCACTTTCCTAAAATCTAGGATCTATTGAGAACTACGAAGAAGTGATTTCCAAATTTTTTTGYAATGGAAGATCCGCTTGAAGTTCATCCTTTGTTCATCCATCCGCTCTACCTCGACCTCGAGAAATAGAGAACAGGAAGGCTGCGCCCCTCTATCGGCAACTAACTAGAACCCTCT